AAGATAAATGTCAGCTCATGGTCAGCTCTCAGAGGTGTACGCGAGTGCTTGGTAACGTGATTCATAGATGGTGCAGTGCAGCGGTAAAGTAAAAACATTTTTGGTTTGCTGTTTACACTGCCCACTGTACCAGTTTACTGTACATATGTACGTACATACATACATATACAAACATACGCTCAGGCACGGCCATGCAGTCGTTCTCTCGCGGCTTTTCTTCGCCTTCGCTTTCGCTCTCGCTCTCTCGATCTGTCGCGCTCTCAATCCGTCGCTCTCTCGCTTGCGCTCTCGCTTGCATTAGTGCACGGGCAATTCGGCCCGCCTGAGCTTGAATTTGTTTTTGTTGTCTTTGTTGTTTGTTGTCTTGTTTTTGCCTATTTCTTTTCGCTCATCAACTTAGAACAGCGGCTTAACAGTTAATTAACAGTTCCACTGCCTTTCAGTGGACAACTGCAACTTCGTAAATGTATGCCACCGTTTCGTGCCAAACTTAACTAAAATTTGCATCTATTCATAATAATTGTGTCCTACTTTTAACTTCATTTTGCAACCAATATTTCCCTTCTTTGTGTATCGAAATCATTTTCCAACTGCAATTTCCCTTCCAAAAATATTACCAACTTTCCTGCAAGCAGCCAAACTTTAAGTCAATCGGGGAGAAAAACAATTTTTGAAAAGGGCTTTGCCGTCAAATCCAAGCGCAACGAAGGATTTTGAAAAATATTTGAAATTTACATTGTGCTAAGGGGAGGAAGGAAGAAGTGCCACAGCACAGGACAGTGGCAAGTGGAAAGTGGCAAGTGGCAAAGGGAGAGCGGGGGTGTAGATGTTGAGCGGTTGTTTAACTTAAATTGCTTTGCCGGCTGCCTGGCGGTGGTGTAGGAGGAGCAGCAGAAATTTCGAAACAAAAGCCAACAAATGCAACTTTGCTCAATGCGCTTCCGTTTCCGCTTGCCGCTTGCCGCTTGCCGCTCTTCAGCTTCTGCACCTCCGCCCCTGTTGCCAGCGATTTTCACCATCACCGAGATCTTGCTTCCACCCCCCACCGTTTCGAGGCAACTCCTTGGCACAGCCAAACTTTGGCATTGTTGTCTTTGGCTGTTGCTTGTGGCAATCACTTTCATTCGCCTGCTACCGCTCTGCACCATCTCCAGCACTGACTCCTTTCACCTCTGGCACTGGTTTTTTCCTTCCATCTCCCACACTGGCTGCCGCTTCTCTATTTTCTCCGCAAAAACCACCAAACACTTCCGTTGGACCCGCACCTCGACACCCCCTCTATATCAGCTCTAACAACCCCAGAAGCCACCATCTTTTGTATCAAAGTTTAAGTATAAAATTTATTTGTATTTTAACATTTCCGCAGCGGGTACTTGGACTTTGTGGTGCTGTTGGTTGAGTGAGGCAAGTGAGGAGGTACTTTGGGCTGGAGGATAATAAATACTTATCTGAAGGAGCCACAGAAATTGTAATATAAATTAAGGCTATCGAAACCGGGACAACAGTCTAAACTCCTCCCAAATGAACTCTCTTTGTGCCCATCTAAGTGTAGCCGCACCTTCGACTTTTGATCCTCTGTTATCCCCATTCTGTTTGCCGGCGTCAGTTGGGTTGATTTACCCCATGGAATTGCACACGTTTTTTGATTGAGCAATTACGCCAACGAGCAGGGGGCAGGAGGGTGGGCGGTTCCAGAGAGCTTTTCAAATTTCATTTAAAGTGTCAGCCACACCAGCAAAATATTCCATTTTCATAATATGACAGGCATAGAGCGGGCGCAGCCAGACATATTTGCCAGTTGCAGTTCCACAGAAATGCCGTTGTCAGTTGGGGAGGATATTTTTGGGTGGAGCGGATCCTGGACAACAGCGGCAACCGCAGTCCTGATTAGTGGTTGGGCATGACTTTTGTCCTGCTGATGGTTGAGTTCAGGCGGGGCAACAAAAGGTGATTGGGATGCTCACCGTGCAGCTTAATTTGCGCAGATTTTCCAGGCGCTGCCTGCCGGGATATAGACACAAAAGCAGAGCACAGGAGCCTGTGCCTGTGCCTTTATTTCCGATAATCGCTTTTGCCCACCAATGACATTAAAAGGCAAAGGTATAATTGCAAGTGCCACTCGCCACTCTGGCTTATCACACGCTTGGCGTTGTCCTTGCCCCCAGCAAGTGCTAACCGCAGAGAAGGACAACCAAACAGGGCAAGGAAAACAAACAAAATGCAACTTGCAATGAAAATGAAACCGCAAAAATGGTAAAGGGCGGAAAGGGAGAAGGGCAGCGTAAGCCATTTACTCGTTAACTGTTAACAGGGGTGGAAACTGGAAGGACTTGCTGTTGGGAAAACGTGCCGGAATAGCTCCAGCGACTAATAACAAAGCGACGAACAGCAGCAGCGACACAACACAATTTGCACATGAAATTAGATTTAATTTCGAAAATAGCTGCAACCAAATGTCTCTTTTAGCTGGCAGAACAAAGGAGAACAGCAACAACAGCAGAAAAGTGACTCAAAACCGAGTCAACACGCAGCGGCCACAAAAAACGAGAAAGAATGTGACAACCAACAGACAAAAGCTCGTAAAGAAGGCGCCAAAAAAACATGCAGAAAATGGAGTCACGTGGCCCCCAGCGCTTAAATTACGCCACGGGGAGTTGGAAACACACAAGCACACACACCAATGCAAGTGGTAGATTGTAAGAAAGCATAGAATACATTTTGGAATACATTTATCATGGGCTGACGAGGAAGAAAAGTACTGATATGGGTTACAGAGAGGAAATTCCATATTTGAAGTTAACATTTTGGCGCCAACAGCTGCAGCTATTTAACAACACTGCACTGTAATTAAAATATCGATAGGCTGTTAACAGAATGCTGTTAATTAGCAGCTGATAAATTAGCGCCAAATGTTAAGATTTGAAATCCTGCCACATAACGCCTCATTATTGCGTTTTTAGTGCGGGCTTTTATAGTTTCAAATTGAAAACTATTGTGCAATTTTACAACGCTGAATTATGTAACTTTTACACAGGTACATGCTGCCACAGTACACTTTTCATATACATTTCTGCACTTGCCTTTACGTTTCGGGTTCCTGCGTCATATTTTTGCAAGGTGACCACAGGAAAGCAGCCGCAATAACCCTAGATCATATGCGCGCCAAGCACAGGGCATAACAATTCCTACCGGACACACACAAAAAGTGAGCCGAAAGCGAAACAAAGCCAAACGACTGCGCAGTACCCTGGAATCAAATTACAGCGCCAGAAATCCTTGATCCCCCTGTGGGGGGACTAACCAATCAGGTTGGCCCCCCTTCATTGATTTCCATATTCAAATGTGATTGCCATGTATGCGGGAACATGTTAATTCGCTTTGAAATTTAATTGACTGCGATTCCAATTCCAATTCCCATTCGAGTGAGATTTCCATGCGGACAAGAGTCGCCTCCGACTGCCTTCGATTGCATGTGGCGCTGCCGTCTTTTGTGGCATGCCTTGCCTTTGCCACGGTTTCGTGTATCAAGTGAAAATCATCAGTTTTCGTTTGTGGCGTTTAGGGGCGAGTGCGAGCCACCGCCTTGCCTTGCCTTGCCTTGCCTGCTGCCTGTTTTGCATTGCAAATGTGGAGGGAGCTCCGTAGTGCATTCTTCATGTGGAGCGGGGAGTTTCCCCGTTGCATGCTAGCCGCACATGGAGCCTTTCTAATGTCCTGCTGTTAGCAAAGTTGCGCTTTTGCGCCATGATTTTATAGTAATTAACAGCCAGCTGCCCTGTAAATCTGACGGAGTCCTCCTCTTAGAGGAGCTCGCCAGCAGCTGGTTCCACTGTGGGCTAACTTTGTGGCTAACTGGCCAGCTGGCTGGCCCGTTTGACAATTAAAACTTAATTAATACAGCAGGAAACGCCAACCTTCGCCCTGAACTTTCGCTTGGCTTTTAATTACAATTTATTTACATGCAATTCACGTGCTTGTGGGGCGTAACCATTGAATTACATAATCGCTTTTCCCATACATTTAAATCAACTGAGTTGTTACCCTTTGCCAAAGAGTTATTAGGCGTTTTGGGGGTCGTTGTGCAAAGATAACATTTGAATCAGATCTCAATTCAAATGTTTACAGTGGCGCGAAGCCGTACAGCAGCAACAGTTGTCTGTTGTTAACAGCTATGTTATGTAGATGATTATGCTGTCAGAGGCTGTCTGCAAAGTGAACGTGCAGCTCCAGGCAAAAAATACCAATAAATGCAACCAAATACCAACTGCGGTGTAGGCATTCTGCTGCCCTTGAGGAAACGGATATTATAGAACCTGAGGTTTGAAATCTCAGGCTGCAATCAATGCAATAGCTCGTCAGATTATATACACCGAGAAGTAATGTTTAAAAGCATTTTGTTAAACCAAAAAAATTAAGTATCCAAACTACCGGTTGAAAAGCCGCAAGTGATCATGATCTCATTTTTTGTTGACCTTTTTCGTTGGAATTTTGTTTTCTCAGCAGAGTAATAAAAACAAGCCTTTAAAAAGAATCTTACTTATGGAGAATTGATTAATCAATCGTATAAAATTAGAATTTTAAAGCTTTGTGAGTCTTTACCAGCTAGTAACATTAAACAGAATATCAAAATCGAGGAATATGACTATCATCGGTATATTTACGGTATATTCTATAAATAAGATGCCATATTAGGTATATTTTTAAGGGTCAGCCGGTATATCTTATCACACCAATGCACACACGCGTGCGAAAGATCAAAACAAACCCTCCAACTCCTTTTTGCCGTGTGCGCACACCTGCGAAAGTCCAAAATATTATAAAAACCCCCAACAATATCAAAGTTATTTCACTTTTACATGAGCAGCCACAGGCAGAACAACGCGTCCGGACGACAAGCAAGTCCCAGCGCTGGCCAGAACGTAGCAGCAGTGCAGTGGAGGAGCCCCCGACAACATTTTTGGCGTGACTGCGGCGTATTAAATCAGCGTCAACGACAGAGCGTGAAACAGCAACCGGAAGTGCAGCGCGAGGCGGCGAGCAACTGGTGGCCACCACAATGGAGGTCTTTGCCTGGGTAAGACACGCCAAGGCGGAGACGCCGAAAGAGACATCGTCGTGACTGCGATTTGAAATGCAAATTAATGAGTGATTTCCTCTACCGTTTTTTTGTGTGCTTTTGCAGGGTGCCAACTCTCACGGCCAGCTCGGCCTTGGCTTTGAATCGGAGTTGTGCATGACACCGCAGCGCCTCACCCGACACTCATTTGCCCCCCAACTCGTGCGCTGCATACGCGGCGGCGGTGGGCATGTCCTCATCCTGGACACAAATGGACGGGTGCATGCCTGCGGCTGGAATAATCGCGGGCAGCTGGGTCTGGATTCGATGGAGGAGTGCCACAATGAGTTTCGAATGATTCCCACAGAGTACTTTGAGGTGGGACAAAGGATTGCAGCCATCAGAGGTCCAGTTTTATCTTCTTTATCTTCCAGGAAGTTCCCATTGAAACAGTCAGCTGCGGCTGGGACATCTCTGGCGGCATAACGCTGACCAAGCGACTATTTGTCTGGGGCTCCAATGCCTTCCAGCAGCTGGGCATTTGTCAGCGTGGCTTCATGGCCGTGCGTCGGCCCCTGCCCGTGCGTCTGCCCAAGGAGGAGCCCGCTGTGGCCATCAGCTTTGGGTTGCGTCACTGTGCCGTGCTCACGCAAGACCACAAGATCTATGTGTTTGGGCGACTGCGCGTCATGGACCCGCCGCCCATCGAGCTGGACATTACGGCCACCACGCTGCATCGCTGCAACACAATGAAGGTCCAGGTGCACAATCCGAAGGAGCTGCGCATCGTTGCCATGTCCAGTGGCCAGCATCACATGCTGCTCAAGTGCGTGGACCTCAGCCAAGAGGGCGGCAGCACCAAGCGCATACTGTCCCTGGGCGACAACAAGTTCGGACAGTCCAATGCGTTTCTCTTCGAGGCGGATGTGCGCCAGCTGGCCGTCGGCTGGACACACAATGCGGCTGTGCTGCGAAACAACGAGATCCTCATGTGGGGTCGCAACTGCTACGGACAGCTGGGCACGGGTTCGATCAGTGAGCAGCAGGCTGTGCCCAAGCCATTGAGTCTTCAGCTGCCAGAGGGTCAGACGCCTGCGCGAGTGCACATGGGTGCAGAGCATGGACTGCTGCGTACCACAGCGGGTGAGGTGTACACCTGGGGCTGGAACGAGCACGGAAATTGTGGCAACAACAGCACAGAGAATGTGTGAGTAGCTGGAAACTGGAGCTAATGATTGATATATAATCAAAATTTGTTTGTTTCTTTGTTTTAAATTTAATTGCAGTTGCAACCCTACGCTGGTGGAATTGCCGGGCCCCGTGAAGTTGGCTGGAGCTGGCTCTGGCTTCTGTTATGCCATTTGCGAGTCGTCTGTTAACTAATTTTATAATTAAATGTTGTACAAATGTTGAAAATGCCTGCCAGCTATTGCTTTAATCGTGTTTGTAACTGTATTGTCAAATAAAATAGTAATATTGCACAAAGTCGAACAAATCAAACTTAACAGAGCTGCCTGCAACATGTTCAGTTAACATTTACATCGAAGTCGCACTCTAACATAGCACCAGCACGAGCTGGTCACACTGCAGTACTGCGGCGGCCGGCACAGCTTTAGTTTCAGTTTAGAAATTCAGAACGTGAACGTCCAGAAATCTTATTCGAACACCCGCGAAATTGTATTTTGTTTAATGCCAATAAAGTGCATTGTTTTTAAATAAATAAAGTTTTCTTCTACAAAAAAAAAGGTAAATATTGCAAGCCACAAAAAACTCCATATTTTATTCAAAAATGTGCGTGTGGGGGTATCGATGGGGGGAATGTGTGGATCAATTTGGGGATATTTCGTAGAGAACAAGAAGTGCAAGGAGATAATCAGCAAAGCTCAATTGGGGACTCATCAAAGTGCCATGGGAACACTTTCAAAGCGCACAGAAATATTCATAAATGTGAAAATTAACCTGCATAAGTCAGTCACATTTCAAGCCATCTGCGGACAATTGTCGGCGGCGTCTTTTCGGTCACCAACACATGAAAAGCAATCAGTGCTGCCCAGCGTTCGTTCACCAATACACGCACAGGCAGCTCACACGCGTGTCTGCATTCGTGTGGTCCTCTGACTGGGCAGCACTGCCCGAAGGGGAAATGTTCGGCCAGCAAACAAATACACGCAAAATTCGGCGAAACTTCAACGACTGTGGCTGTATGTGTGTAGACACTAACACGCGTTGATTTTTCCTACAAATCAAATGTTTATGTGTGTAACTGATCTCCATAGACATTTACTGTAAACAAATGCCGAATGCTGGCATCGAATTACTTCTACTTCCATTGAAAAGTTTTGCCAGTCAGACAAACAGCAGCGCAGGTTCTCCGATCAGTTAGCTTGAGACGACGAACAGCAGCGGGGGTCTTTTGCTTTCATAAAATTATAGTAATTCCCGAAAAATATTCTTCGTTTAGGTTTTGATAAAATTCCACTAAAAAGATGTCGGACAACGTCTTAAATCGCAATTATTCGGAGGATGACGACACCAGGGATGTGATCGCTGCCACTGAGTGTAAGTAGTTTGTTTATTAACTGATAAATAATAATAGTAATCCACGGCTCAACCGCTTACATAGCAAACATTGCGAATGAGGCCAGCAAGCGCATCTGGCAGCCAACTGTCCAGGACGGCACCGCTGGCATCTGGGAGCCACCGGAGAAGCCCCTGCCCGATATCGTGAGTGAACCTCTAATGAGCGCCGATGTCAAGGCTATGCTTGCTTCTGCCTCGAAATTTATACGCGAAGTGGAGCGTTCTCTCTATGCAGACAACAGCAAGGATCCGGAAAGTAACTCCGAGGAGTACTTCAAGGCAGCCGAGAATTATTCGCTATATGGCGATAGTTTCATGGACTTTCCCAAGAACCCGAATGAGCAGCCCGCAAAACCTCCGCCGGGGTTCGAGCCAAAGTCCAATCCCGCCTCGGCAGTCTACCAAGGCAATCAGGTTGCGGCAGTGGCTGGAGGAACCGGCGGGCAAGGCTACTCGGGGGTAAGTTCTGCTCAGGGATCCACCTCCTCCGGCATAGGCGGCTTTCCATTGCCACTGCCGAATGCGAATCCGCAGATGTCAAACCCAGCACCGCCAATGCCTCAGCAGCAGCCCCCACATCAAATTTCGCCAGAGATCATTGCTAGAGCCATAGCCGAGTTAACAGCTCTGGCTGGCGGTGGAACTCCCATCGACACTGGAATGTTATTTCCGAATGCCTCGCAGCTTCAGGCTCAGCAGCAGCTTCAGGCTCAGCAGCAGCTTCAGGCTCAGCAGCAGCTCCAAGCTCAGCAGCAGCTCCAAGCTCAGCAGCAGCTCCAGGCTCAGCAGCAACTTCGGGCTCAACAGCAACTTCGGGCTCAGCAGCAGCAGCAGCAGCAGCAGCAGCAGGCGGCCAATCAATTCCGTCAACGGCAGCAACGGCAGCTACAGGCCAATCAGCTGCTCCAGCAGCAGCAACAGCAGCAGCAGCAGCAGCAACAGCAGCAGCAACAGGTGTCCAACCCTGCACTCGCTACTGCCGCCGTTATGTATGCCAATCTCGAGCTGCAGACGCAGGTGAACTTGCGTCAAATGCAAATGCAAAGGCTGTGCCAACAGCAACAACAGCTGCCAGCACGTGGCATCTATGGGAATAATGGAAACGGGGCACATTGCACACCGCCCAAAGATCATTCCTCGGGTGCTGGCCGCAACTAAGCGGGAGACGATTTTCTTGGCACACAACAAAATTTGCAAGTACTTCAGAAATATTTTATACCAAACCTCGAATGTAGAATACAACCAACTTTCAGACTAAAAGGCAGCCTTTATTAATAGATTCTAACAAACAATAATCACAACCGTACAACCTTTTTATCGTTAATTTCGGTTTTTTTACATTTGATACAATAGTTCCAATTCAGCAATTCCATTGCTATAATTTCAATAGTTTTCTATAAACATTTTGCACCCCGATACCGATTTTCTCAATACAAAATGTAACAAAATTGTAAAGACAAACAACAGAAACTACACTCTCAATAATGTTATTGAAATATATTTTTTAAACGATTGTAAATACAACAAATTTTACGACTTTTAAAAGTAAATTAATGTATAAGGGAAGTACAAATAAAGGTAATTTCTATGATCAAATGATGGCTAAAAGATTCTCTATGCAGGGAGAGACAACAAAGCAACCAAACAATATACAAATATTTATAGTAATTTCCACATTAAGGACCACTTTCTACTTGGCTACTGCTATGCCAATCCTATTTTGTTCCACATCAAACAACAAATAATGTTCCCTGAAGAAAACATCTCCGATGATCCAGAAATTGATGCCCGCCAAGTCCATGAAGCCCGTGATGCAGACATTATCCTCATAGGCAATGATATATTCCTGTGGCCTCACATGGAACTTTTTGCCAGCGATTCCGAGCTCCAGCACGGGGAGATATTTGATTCGCGCACACTGCACCTCCCAGAGGCCGTTGGTGGTGTTGTATTTGGCGCCGATTTTTCTGTTCAGCTGTGTGATGTCCTCAGTGGGACCCACTAAGAGGGAAGTGCCCGAATCCATGATGGCATTGCAACCGTTACAGCGACGACATTTCCGAGAAGGGAACCCTATGTAGTCCATTGTAAATTTCCACAATTTCTGTTCTGTGACGTTCACGTGGGTCAAGGAGCCGTGGTACAAACTCGAATTGGAGCCACCCAAGATCAGCGAACCACCATCGGTGGTGTTGCTCTTCAGGTGGAACGAGAAGATCGGCTGATCGACCAATTTCTGTTCAATCATCTGATAGAATGGAGGCTTTTGCCGAGTCAACGCAACTGCGGGATATGCTAGGCCAAGGACCCCATCGAAGCTGCTGCAAGTGTCCGTTTGGCTGACCAGCCCGAAGCCCTGGTTCTTGATGGAGATCTGCCCAATGGACACCGTATCCGTCGCTAGCACGCCACTCACTTCGCCTATGCCATATGTGATCTTAAACGCGGTTCCATTGGCCACAAAAGACTTTGATTTGGCTGCTTGGAACACAGAATTGTCGCAGGTCTTGGCGCAGGTGGTGCAGTTTGCATTTGGAATCCACAGATCCGAGGAGCCCGTGTCGAACTGCAAGGTGAAGGGTTGATTGCCCACCAGGCAAGGTCCGTAGAACTGAGTTTCATACGCATTGAAAAGTGGTTCGATGGCCTCTGAAGGTGCGCTGTTGGTGCTGCTGCCGCCGCTCTGGGGCGCTGCTGCTGCTGTCACTCCGAACTTTCGCCGTATGTGCTTTCGGCTTGCCCACAGATGTCTGGCGTGTGGGAGCTTTCGCTGCCTGTGTCGCTGCATTGCAATGCGGTGAAATGCGTCGCTGACACAGCCAAACGCACAGAGGAGCAGGATAACTGCACGTGGATTCATATTGAAACTGTGCTTAGCCGACAGTCTGCGTTGCGGTACTTATAGCAGCTTTCGACAGAGGCTTTATCGGGACAACCCAAAAACATTTCATGTAACATTGACACGTAAGGGCGGGCATGTGCCGAAAACACGCCTAACAATGTGTGTGACAATGTGATTTATTGGGGAATACGCGAATAGTTATCGAGGAACACAATTGCCAGAAGGTGGGAGTGTCTAGTATGTCAAAATACATAGTTATGTATTACATATGTAATACATAACCTTTTATATGAATTAAAAGCATAGTCCCAATAGCATTGTGAGGCTTGCCCATGACCACTGGTGCAGCCTAAAGTAAAGCCTTCCTATTTTATAGTTTTATACTTGCACGGCCCACTGTACATTCAATTTGCTACCTGCTTAAGCTTACGCACGGCGGCGGTAGTTCTTTCGTCTCTCTATCCCACCCACCTTCTTCGTTTCGTACCAGAAGGCTGCAGTTTCAGCGTCGAAGCTATGCTCTCGCGCTCCTTCTATCGTTCGTGCGCAGCGTAGCTTCTGCCCACTGCTGCGTCTCTGCCTTCATCGCTCTCCTTTTTACGCTCACTCTCGCTCTCTTTTAAGCTTTGCTCTGCACTGCACTGGCAATTTGGTGCGTCAGCCCTTACAGTTATTCTTGACTTGATCGTCGTTCTACGTACTTTCTCTTTGGCATTCGCAGCTGCATACATTTGAAACGAAAAGTGTTTACATGAAAAATATTCGTAATATCAGAACGAATATATATTTAAATATGTTTGTGTACATTCATAAAGTTATACAGCAAAATACATTCGTAAGCCCACTTAATGCAGTGCTTTGGCCATTCCAATTTGATTGTAGCCCAAATCATACACCGTGTAATAGGCGCCCATAAACACCTCGCCGAGTATCCACAAGTCACTGCCCGCGAGGCTGGTGAAGCTCGAGACGCACTTCTCCCCGTATTGCAGTACATAATCCGATGGCTGCAACGGGAACTCGTTTCGTGCAATTGTAAAAACCATCGTTGGCAGGCTGGAAATCGTTGAGCAGTTCACGAGGAAGACGCCACTCGTGTCTGTCGGATTGAGAACGTTTAATATTTGGTTGATCTTTGCTACCGCGGCAGCTGGAGCCACAATGAGGGAGGTGCCCACATCGAGTATGGCCTGACATTTCGTGCAAAAATTGTGCCCAGCCAGCAACGCGCTGGACATGACGAACTGCCAGTAGCCTTGCTGGGAGACAGGCACATAGGTGAGACAGCCAGTGAAGAGTGTTGAATCGATGCCTCCGAGGATGAGCTCTCCCCCATCCGTGGCACTTGTTCCGTTCCTGTTCAGATAGATGGAGAAGACGGGATGCTTGATCAGCCCCTGGGCCACCAGGTTGTAAAATGGCGGAGTAACCCCACCGATGGATATGCTGCCGTAGCCCAGTCCAAACATTCCATCAAAGGGAGAGGACAGAAACGAGGCCTCTGGTTCGTCGGTGATCTCTGCAAAGACTTGATTCTGTATGGCAAAATCCGCTATGGTGACGGTGTCCTGCGAGAGGAAGCCCGAGAGCGCCACGCCACCTTGAGAGTTGGAGGCGTATTCGATGGTGAAAGCGGTGCCATTGGCCACATAGGAACTGGAGGACTCTGAGTCGTACTGGTTGTGGCTCACGCAGGACTTGACTGTGGCCGCACACTTGCTGGAGGGCACCCAGAGATTCGAGGAGCCGGTGTCGATTAGCAGGTTGAACTTCTGCGGTGGAGTGCCAATTGTCACTGGCAGATAGTATTCCGTGTTGAAGGCATTGCCCAAACTAGCGCCGCTCGAGGCGGAGTTCTTCGTTTTCACTGTTTCCGATGTAGTTCCATTCATTTTATGCTTTATCGCCAGTGATTTCAGTTCATTCCGCACATTGTGATGGCTCGATTGAGGATTCTGACGTCTGCCCACCTTCAGGTGTTTGCGACACTCCACTTGAGCCGCGCAGAGTGCCAAAAGTAGCATCAATCCACAGCAGTTCCACTTTAGCTCCATCGCGGCACACGACTCAATGTGAGACCCTGCTCGAGTCACGTATTTATAGCAGCTCAAGCCATGCCCCAGCTCACACCACTTGGCCAAGAATTTCACGCGTGATAAAGGGAAGAATGTTGCTTCGATTCATTGCACATTTATTTATTACACTTTTTCGCTGCAGAAACTTAATTGCTCAAAGGAGCGAAACCCACGCGATTCTCGCCAAAATCAAACTGCGTGTAGTACTGTCCCAGGAAGACGTCGCCCAGGATCCAGAACTCGGTGCCAATGTCCGTGAAGGTGGACATGCAGGAGGTGTTACCCTCCTCCTGGAAGACCTGAATGTACACCGAGGCGGGCAGCTCGAAGGTCGTGCCACCAATGATGAAACTCAACACGGGCAGAGAGTTCAATGTGTCGCAGGGAATGTAGTAGCTGCCATCGGTGAGAACGGCTCCAATGAGCTGATTGATCTGCGGGTAGACAACCGAGGGACAGGCGATCAGGGAGGTGCCCGTGTCGGCAATGGCCTGGCAGCCTTCACACAACAAGTAGCCATTCCAGCTGATGTTGTCCACGGAGAACTGCCAGTAGCCCTCCTGGGACACGGGCACGTAGGTGAGATCGGCAGACATCAGGGAGACATCAACGCCACCGAGCACCAGCTGGCCACCCTCCTCGGAGGTGCCATTCCTGGCCAAATAGAAGCCAAAAGTGGGCGCATCGATCAGTCCCTGTTCGTAAAGGTTATAGAACGGTGGCACGACAGCATCGTCGGCAATGGTCAGGTAGCCCATGCCCAAAATTCCATCAAAAGCGACGCCCGTGAAGCTGTTGCCCGGCTGGGAGACAGCCTCCCCGAAGGTCTGATTGGCAATGGCCAAGCCATTGATGGTGACAGTGTCCGTGGCCAGATATCCAGTGACACTTCCTGTGCCGTACTGAATGGAGAAGTTCTGATTGTTGGCCACATAAGTGCTCGAGGCACCGGAGTTGTATTGATTGTGCTGCTGGCAGGCCACATCCGTGGACAAGCACTGAGCCGAGGGTATCCACAGATTGGCGGAGCCCGTGTCGAACACCACATTAAAGTACTGCGGCGGAGTGCCAATGCTGATCTGTCCATAGTAATACATGTTCATGGAGTTGCCCAGCTCCTCCGTGGTGAACTCGGTGTAATCGCTGTAATAGTCCGGCTGTCCATTGTCGTAGATCACATAGTCCTGGATGAGCTGCTGGTACTTGTGCCGCAACGAGCGCACCTCCTGCTTCACATGACGACGATCCCGCTTGTGCTCGCTTCGATGTATCTTGATCCTTTGCAGCTCCGCACTGGCCAGTGCCAGGACGCACAGCAGCACAAACCACTTGAACATGTTTGCTACTCCTTCTTCTCCTTTCAATTCTGTCCCTAAGTTTCTTGCGATGTTGCCCTTTTTGTGTCTGGTGCCGGACTGCTGTTGCGCCCCACACGGCCACCTCCCATTTATATGCTCGATGACAAGCCCAAAGCTGCTCGATGGATCACCAGTTGATAAAAATGAACTCACTTGATCGATAGTCCCGCATCGATCGTTGTGTTTGGGCTTACACGTATACAAAAATAAAAAACAATCAACTGCAGACTGACTTAAGGAACTTTCCATTAATGTCGCGGGATTTTGTATACAAAAATTGTGGAAATTAATTGCACATTTGCGGACTTGTGGTATCTTGTGGTAAACAAAACAAAAATCGAGTCTTATCTTATCTTTAAGTAAAAGTTGAATCGGTGGACTGATTGACCGCGAACTCTGAGAAGGTCAACAAGAAAAATGTAGAATAATGGAAATGGAAATGGAAATGGGAATTAGCTGCAGAATAATAATAATTACAATACGGAAACTTCCTCCAAAGCACCAATAAATATCAAATCAAAGTCAGAATAAGTTGCAAAAATATAATAGTAATATTTTCCCTATTTCCCAATCAAATTTGTGCCAAATTGTTGAGTAAATCAAAGCAAATCCAGGTGTAAAAGCAACCAAAAATAATAATATATATTTGTATTAGTTTCAAGTTCAATTCACAACTTTGGCGCAATGGCAATCCGCTTATATTCCATATCAAACTCGATGTAGAATGGACCCAAAAAGACATCGCCCAGCACCCAGAGATTGGCCAAATCATTGCCGCCATCCGGCAGACTTATGAAGCCCGAGACACAGGTGCCACTATAATTCAGAATGTAACTGCTGGCGGGCAGGCTGAAGTCTCTTCTTCCAATATTGAAAGTCAAGTCCGGCAGGGAGGAGACCTTATCGCAGGAGATGGTGTACACGCCATCCCGCTTGTCCGCTGCCGTGATGCCAAATCTCCGATTGATGGTCGCCAGCGTGGCAGATGGAACCACAATCAGCGAGGTGCCCGCATCGATGATGGCCTCACAATTGGCACACAACTCGGACTGGGAGTCCAGGCTGATGCTGGCGAGGGTGATCTGCCAGTAGCCGACATTCGAGAGCGGCACGTAGGTGAGGCAGCCGCTGTAGAGCGTTGGATCGCTGCCTCCGAGCAGCAGCTTCCCTCCATTGCTCGGTTCCGAGGCATTCCGGTTGAGTATCAGCGAGAACAAGGGCTCATCGATGAGTCCCTGTTCGTAGAGATTAAACAGCGGTGGATTGACGTCTCCGATGGAAATGCTGCGAAAACCCAGCCCGAAAATGCCATCAAAGTTGGAACGATTGAAGACGCTCTCCGGCATTGAGGTGATCTCGGCAAAGGTTTGATTTTGGATGGACAAACCAGCAATCTTCAGCTTATCCGTGGAGAGAAATCCCTGCAGTATGACAGCCTCCTCCCGGGTGGCGTATTGGATCTCAAAGGCGCTGCCATTGGCCACGTACGTCTTGGAGCGACTCGAATTGTAACGCTGATGCTGCCGGCACACCTGCTGAGTGCACTTCACCGATGGCACCCAGAGATTAGCCGATGCCGTGTCGAACAGCACCCCGAAGGACTGTCCACCAATGGAGACTTTCCCGTAGTATTCCGTATTGAAGAAGTTTGTGAGCGTCTCCGTGGGTACACCTGATTTTGCTGAAGTCACCTCAGCTGTCGTCGTCACGAGTCCCAGTTTGCTGCCGATGACTCTACTTTGCTGCCCCAAATTCCGCAGGATCTTCCGCTGATCCGTGTCTCGTTGGAGCTCCACCCGGTGGATTCCCTTTCGGCGCGATCTTCTCGCTTCAGCGCTGGCCAGCAGCAACGCTAGCAGCACGAAGCTCAACCCCAGTAGTCCGAACTGCATAATACTCGGGCAGCGGCGGCAACTGCTCTGGCTCTAAGTCGTTCGAGGGGTCACGTATTTATAGGGCCAGAACGAGACCTGTCAACGAATTCCGTTGGTATCGGGCAATACCCTGAGGTATTTAGGGGTTGTGGTGTGCTGACAGGATAAGGCCATGTCACGTGGCCGGAAATTGTCAGAGCGTTGAAAAGGTAACGTCAACCAATTAGAACACAAATTTGTAAACTAAAACTACTTAGCGACCAACGTATCAGTCAATTATCCTAAACTAAATTCGTTTATTTTTGCTTCTTGGTTGATTCTTCGCTATCGGGCTAAGGTGGTACCAGCTGTGCTTTTCGTGGCGTCATCTATCGCGCTTAGGGGTAGCACTGGATCAGAGCAAGCGCGCGCTCTGGCGGCTGCAGTTGTCACCAGCAGTGGACTGTTCCCAAAACTGCGCACTGGGAACACTCAAGTAGTTCCAAAATCCGACAGCGCTGGCAAGTGGCGCCAGTGAGCTTAATATTTGAAATTTAAATGCGGCGGCGGCAATGAAGTTAGGAGGCAGAAATCTGAATTGAAGTGGATAAGTTTCTCAATGGAATCTCCCGCCAGTAGTTAATTCAACTAAATCCAACTAAATGACAGCCACCAACTTACTTCTCCCTCAACCAGCAAAGAAAACTTCAATTCCCTCCATAAAATCCCCCTAAAACTCTGCCCAAAACCCTTTTTGGTTGTGTGACCTAAGCCAGGGGGCGGGTTCGATTCCATTTTTTGTTGAGGAATGCAAACGAAAGTGATTGCAAAAGTTTCTGGGCCACCCTATGCCCAATACCGACCGCACGCCTCATTTAGCCGCACCGAAAATATGCCAAGTTTTATTTGCTAATTGCAGTACAGTGAAGCTTCACGGGGAAGGGGTAAGGGAAAGTCGAAGACGAAGACGAAGAAGAGTCTGCCCGCAAGCTAAGAAAAACTTCAATTCCAATTGAAGTTGCGCCCAATGCCAGATACAAGCCCCCACAACCATATCTCAGAGGCAAGGCCGCCGCTGGCTGTGACAACATTTACAGACAAGGCCGGGAAAAAATACAGCAAGAGCAACATGGAAGGGGGTACGACTGAGGGATACCCTCAATTATTTTAGATGGCAAATGCGTGACAAATAATTCGCTGAAAGTTGTGCGGAAATGGTTTAGAAATTCAAGAGACAAATTTCACTGGTAAAAAGTGCCAATATACCCCACAAATACCCTATAAAAATAGCCGCCAGGAGCGGTTCTCCTTTGGTTACGGTTTCGGGGGGCAAACTTGACTGCAAAATTTCTTTGTAAGTTTTTCTGCACCAAGTACAGGCCTGTGTGTGTGTGTGTAGTGTGTGTGTGTGTGGGTGTGGGGTCCAATGCTGTAATTGAATTTGCGTCAAGTTCTATTAAGTGGCGTAAACTTTTGGCCTCTGGAATTGAACTTGGCTCTCACCGCATGTGCATTTTTCATATGTTTATCGCAGCGCTTTTCGCCTGTATTTCTCCTTTCTTGCCTTGACATGTTCGGGGGCAAGAGAAAAAGTGAAAAGAAATGAAAGAAAAGAAAAGAAAAGAAAAAGTAAAGGCAGGGAAAAACCTACCAGATAAGTCTCTGGCTGTCAGGCACAGGGGCCACACATGTGAGGTTATCAATGGAGCATTAAATTGTTTCTGGCATTTTGGAGTCTGTCAGTTGTGGCGCAATCATGGGGCAAGCAATCATACCAGACTCATCCAAACCACTCTAGGACTCTAGTCCATCGTTCAAAGCTGTTTTCGTATGCGGCAGCGCACAATCCACTCAAAAGTTCGGACCTCCACTTGTCCTTTTTGTTGACTTAATTTAGCATATCAAATTTATGCATTTCATTCGGTTAAAAATGCATTAAATTACTGCTAATGCTTGGGCGTTTATTTAAAAGTTTTGGCCATTTTTTACACTCGCATATGGGGGGCCTGGTTGGGCGGCTCAAAATCGGGCTCACAGCTGCCTGCTGGATGCGTGTTTCGGCATCAAATATTAAGATTGCTTTGGGACAGCTGGTGGCAGCTTTGTCGCAGTCTTTTTTACGGCCTCTTTTATCTATTTGCACCCTTAGACGTGGCACGTGATGTGGCAAACATTTTAGATGCATTTGGTAGCCAAGAAAATATTTCTAAGCCTAGTCTTGAGACCCTGAATGTTTGGAATAAATATTGATGTAATTACCTATAGAAATGCCCAAAAGTTAACCGAAAAATCTCTGAATTTGCCACTCCAGAGCCCACCTCTAAAGTTGACCAACCAATTTGTGTTTCTATTCGTGTTTATGCACAATATTTGTCGAGCAATCCAGGCCCAAAGAAAACAAAAGCAAATAAAATCGAGTGCTGAAAATGCAACAGCTGCGGTGCCCATAACACAGAAATGATTCACAAAAATATATGTGCAAAATTCTCACAATTTTTATGTGCATATTTACATTTGAAGTCGATAGAAAAAAAAGAAAGAGATATTTATTAACTGAAACGTTGACTTGACTTTCCAGTCAGCTGATGTCTGGGCGGGGAACAGAAGTCAGCGTCGAAGACGGATTTAGATTTTCAGCATGTTTGCACTAAAGTTCAGTTTTTGGACAGGACAATTGATGGACAAACATATTAGATGGGGAGAACACCACACACACGGCACACAGAGCACACCACATGCCACAGCAGACACTGCTAGACACAGACAGCTATAGTTCAGTTAACTAAAACATATACCCCACACACACAACACAACACACAACACACAACACAACACAACACACAGGACGGAGGACAGTTATTTGCTTTTATGGCAGACTGAGCCTGTCTGGGCAACCCTCCTCCAACCTCCGGCTGGACTCGCTCTGGGCTGTGTGCACGTCAGTTGGCTGAACAGTTTATCCTGCATATATGAACTTCAACAACATGCTACCAGACACACACACACAAAGACCCACTACAACTATTTCCGCTTACTGCTAAACAAATCCCAGCTACGTATACGCAATATTGGCATTTGGCATATTATTGGAGTTTCGTCATTGCATGGACGGATCGAAGAGGGGCAGGGAGCTTAGGCATCGAACAGCAGCAAATGTCTTTAGCCCAGTGTCCTCCATTAAATATGCTGACAAGTTGATAAATTGTTGTACATAAACAGCATTGGCCATGGCCATTGGCCGAATCATTTAATTGAATTGAGAAATTGGAGATGGGTCAGAGGCATTGCCTGGCACAGGAGATGATGCTTTGATGGATGGCTTTTCCATTGTGTAGTTTGTGGCAGGCAAATGTAGTTGTGGCACTCAAATAACTATTCATTGGTTTACAATTACTGTCTGCTGTGAGAGCTAATTTGCAGAGGGGAACGAGCAGGGCTGAGCCATTTTCATGGCTCCCATCTTCCCCCCAAATGGTCATCTCTTAAGGCCTATTAAAACACTTCAAAGTAATGCTTTGGAAAACTTTGAAAATTACCTAAAGTATATTCGTGGTCCATTGCCACAGGCCCCCGCAATAGAATTCAACTGGCAAAAAGAAATTCTCTGGAGTGAAATAACTCAGGAAACCTCCTGCCTGCCACACGAAAATCTCGGAGCACATGTTCCAGTGGAGTGCCACGCCTTTTGGGCTGTGGGTCTCCTCATCTATTGAGGTTTGACATTAGCATGAAAAACGCATTTTTCCTCCAGCGCAAACAATGGGGAGGGAAAATGTTTTAAGTAACTTTGTTGGGGCCAAAAGGTGACAAAGGAATTCCGATTCCCAGCATTCGATATCGCCGCTGATTGAATCAAATTGTTAAGAATTATTTTGTGCTCCTTCCAGCATAAAAAAAAGATATGTAAAAGTAAAGAGCAAAAAGCAAAGCGAGCCAAAGTTGTGTCGTTGAGTGAAATTGGGTTTTCCTTTGCCTTCTTTTTTGTTTGGCATATTTGTGCAATTGAATTGTTTACACAGAAATAACGACTCCGAAGGGTTCACAGTTCAAAAGTTATCGCTGTGATGAGATGTGTGTGTTGTGTGTTGTGTGTGAGTCAAACTTTTACCATTGGCAGCTTAAAAGCTTTTCCCAGACTTCCCTTTATCATCAATTTGGCGGCATTTGCAAACATCTGAGGGAGGCGCTCGCTCCGCTCCGCTCCGCTCCGCGACATTGATGAATCTGTGGCAACGCTGGGGAAGGCGAATGATTCGAGTGACAAATTGAGACACCAGAGGGGAGAAATCAATCTGCTGAAGGTTATCTGGCGCTGACAGTCTCAGCATCGAGTGATCGAGAGAAGATTCCGATTAGAGCGGCAAATTGTTGTGGTAAATATTCGATATGCCGACGAGGGACCGCGATTAACCTGCATTCCCATAACAATTCTAGACCCCATTCTTGAATGGCTGACTTCAGGGGCAGCACTTTCATTCCCAAGGTTAATAATTTAACAAATTTGGTCAAGTTTCCCAAAGTAAAAGACTTTCAAGTTGGAAACTAAACCGCTGAAAAGGACCAAAGCCAAAGAAACCGACTGAAAAATGCGCTTTAAATGCATATTTACGCGAAGGAGACAGCAAAAACTTGCCTAAAAAGCATAACTTTCTGTCACTGATCGATGGACATTAAGTTGATAACATTTATCTGCTCAGAGATCGCTTTTGATTCTGGTAGATCAGCATTTACATATTATTCTTAAAGGACCCTCCAGAGGACAAGACAAAAGGCTAATACCCCACGCAACTTGCTGTCTGTGAAAGGTCCCCAACTTCCAAGTTAACTTCAAACATTCCCCCCAAGTCGGACAGTCTATAAAAGACACCCATTCTATGCTGGCGACATATTTGGTCTCTGGAACTTCTGTCGCGATGTTGAGCAAGTTTTTTCCGCGCATCAAGGCCCTGCCACTGACGGAGCGAATACAATCCCGCGATGCCTTTGTGTACTTGGATCGATATCAGAAGATTTTCGGCTGGGCAGCGACCGACGATAAAAAGTGGAGAGTTCCCTACACCTTATGGGGAATTAGCATCAATTCGCTGCTGATCTTTCTCCTCCCAATCTCGATGCTGGTTTCGTACATCCAAATGTTCAAGAGCTTCACGGCGGGAGAGTTTCTCAGCTCCCTGCAGATCACGGTGAATATGTACGGATGTGTTTTGAAGTGCCTGTACACCATTTGGGGCTACGAGGGATTTCTGGCAGCCAGACAGGTGCTGGACCACCTGGATCTGCGCTGCACCAGCGATGAGGAGCGCTCCAGCGTGCACCGCTGCGTGGCCCAGGGCAACATGTGCTTCGTGTTCTACCACATTCTGTTCTCGGGATTTGTGGTCGGTAATTGGACCACCTACATCTTCATGGGCAGGCACGCCTGGCTGATGTACCTCCCGGGTCTGGACGCTGAACGGAACTATTTCACATCCAGTTTGTGTGAGCTTTTGCTCATGGGCGGCGTTGTCACCATGGAACAGTGCACGGATGTCTCTCCGCTGGCACACATGCTGATGGCTCGCTGTCACATTAATCTGCTCAAAAATCGATTGAGTAGGCTGCGTTCCGATCCGAACAAGAATGAGGAGCAACATCATGAGGAGCTGCGAAAATGCATCCAAGATCATCGCTTGGTTCTAGAGTAAGTGGGAGTAGGCAGTTTTTATAGTTGTTTCATGTTTTTCCCTTAGCTACGTGAATAAACTGCGGCCCATCTTCTCGGGCACCATCTTCGTGCAGTTCCTCCTGATTGGCATAGTTCTGGGCCTGTCCTTGATTAATATCATGTTCTTTTCCACCTTCTGGACGGCTCTTGCCACCGTGTGCTTCATGTTCGACGTTTGCCTGCAAACCTTTCCCTTCTGCTATGTGTGCAACCTGATCATCGAGGACTGTCGCGAGCTGTCGGAGCATCTCTTCCAATCGAATTGGCTGGCCGCCAGTCGCAAGTACAAGTCCACTTTGATCTACTTCCTGCATAATCTACAGCAGCCCATTGTACTCACGGCGGGTGGAGTTTTTCCCATTTGCATGCAGACGAATTTATCGGTAGGAATTTATATTTTCGGAACTTAGCAGCGTATAAAATTGCAGTCCTTTGTAGATGGTAAAGCTGGCCTTTTCTGTGGTCACTCTCATAAGACAATTTAATCTGGCGGAGAAGTTTCAGTGATGGATGGAACATAGAAAAAGGTTAGTGGAAAAGCAAAGGATTCAATGTTTTAAGTAATATTTTTGTGTATAATTTACCTCCATTTCTGTAGTTTAATATTGATATTAGTCTGAGCAGCGGAACACCAAAAAGAACTGACAAATAAAACAAAGATAATTCTAGTTGAAAGATACATTTGTTCTCTATAAAATTAAACCTCAAAACTTATACTGATAATATCCACAATTACTAGAATGTAATTTAATGTATCTGCTATTCAATTCCCAATTCGTAGAGATTTCTTGTGGCTGATTAAAATAAATGTGTCTGCTGGCGGTAGATAAGCCACAATCAAAGCCACATCCTCGTGCAAAGTACAGTCTCGTCCGCCCTCACACTCTCTCCACCAAAAACAAAGCAAAGCCATAAGTGATGCCAAAAACTTTGCCATGTCTCAGCATGATAGAAAGTTTTTGGCCAGCAACTCTCTTTTGGCCCATTGACAAAAGTTGACATATGCAAAAATAAAGAAAGGAGAAGGAGAGGGAGAAGGAGAAAAAGATGAAAAAAATACGTATACAAATTATCAGCACATTTATCTGGGTGAAGAAGTCTGTTGGGGGAAGGGGGGGGGGGGATTGGAGGGAGTAGCAGAGAGACGAATATGAATTTCTGGACAGAAAAGTTTTGATTTATTTTGAAGCGCAAAGTTTTTGGGCCTGTCACAGGGCATTTTGACATGGGTTTTTGCACCACGGAGACTGCCACAGGAGTGAAATGAAATCGAAGCAGAAAATGCTAAATCAAATGGGGACCTGCCCCGCCGTCCCCACAGACACCGACACCAGACCCGTCCCAAGGAGCCAAACGAAGGCAATAGATGGAAGAGTGAGGGAGAGAGTTGTGGGAGGGTGGCGGGATACTGGTGTTTGTTGCTGCTCGTTTAACTTTTACTTTTCGTTTCCCTTGGCCTCCTGCCGTGGATTAAGCCAGCTTAAGGCCTATTAACGGTTTGAAGTGACAAACTCGGTTTCTATTATTTAATTGCGGGCAGCTGCAATGTAAAGTGCAATCGAGCTGAAAATGAGTAGGGATATAAAAGGGCTTAAGGCGCTGGCCGCCTCATTTCAGCTTTTTCCTACTCCAAAGATATTGTCTGAATTCAGTCTACAACGTGATTATTACTGCCCCTTACTCCGCACCTTCCCCTTGCTTGTGGAATGAGAGACACAAAAGGGAATATCAAGAAGTGTGAATGGGAGAAGCTAAGACAGCAGTCGCGACAATTACAATATAATTTGGGTATTAGCTTTCATAATTGCCACTGAGATCCACAAGCGGTAAGGTGTGGGGGGTATTTTACAGCTCCATCCACAAATTTTGTACATTATGCAGTTCCATGAGTCGATATTAAATTATTGTTTTATTATTTGGTCCCTCCAACCATCCAGAGATTGCAAAGAGAGATGAACCGTAGCTAACACCCACCTTTTGGATAATTACACCATGGGCTCACGTTTGTCGCACAGTGTCGCTCGCTTTCTTTGTCTGTCCCTCTTGCACCAAAAAACGTCTTCAATGAGCGACCTGGAGCACTTTTCGCCTGCTGAAAATATATTTTTAGACAGCCGCCTCGCCCGCACCTCTCGCACACTTTTCGAGCAGGCAAATTTAAGCGCAATTTAATTTCCCATTTGTTAATGACAAAAACTGGCTAAAAACTAACAACAAAAGCAGCAGGAGCAGGAGCATAAGGGAATGCACAAAAAAAACTAAATGCTATTTCACACATTCGCTAAATGAGAAGAAAGGCGACAGTGCTAGTGCATAGAGAGAGGGAGGGAGTGTTAGTGAGAGGGGAGAGACGAGAGCGGAGAGTGTCTGCAGTGTCACTTGAAGTGTTGCAGTCGCCGCCGCTGACAGCGAGAGTGTACGCTGCCAAAGCAGTATTAGATTTTTAAGTAGATTTTGGCAATGACCATAAAAGTACTGATATGTGTTTTTATATACATATTTAGGTTTTTTTTGAAGATAAAGATCAACACACATAAACATAGCCATGTAAGTATCTATGGACATCTGCTTTTACCGACAATGTTTCCATACCTCCAATGGGGGCGATGGTCATGAAAGGGTATCAATGACTCGACTATAGGGCAAATATTTGCTTCTCTTTTTTTTGCACGACTGGTAAACGAAGAAGTAGGAGTAAAAGCAAAGGAGAGACCCTGAGTGAAGAGGCGAGCAGAGCCCGCTAAGACAGTTGGACAATAAACACATGTTTCAGTTTGTAATACGCGGGGCCGTAAAGTTGCCTCGCCTCGCCTCCCCCTCGCTTCTGTCCTGCACGAAATTATATGTAATGCCAGGGCAGGCAGCCGAAAAGTATCTTTACAGTTATTTCCTCTTGTTTCTCTTCGTTTGCCTTGTGTGTTTGTGCGAACACACATGCCCTTTTTTTTTATTTCATGTTTGAGTGTGTGCGAAATTTTGCACGCATTCTTTTCACCTTCCCCCACCATCACTGACAGCACCTCTTCCTGGGTTTTGTTTTTGTTTGTTGTATGCGGAGTGGAGATTACCGCTTGACAATGGGGAACATGTGGTACTTATCGAGCATTTGTCTCATTGTTGTGTAGGATAATGGGGATATGGATGGGTACGCGCAGAAGGTAAGCCACTCGAAATGGAATTGAATGGTGTCACTGTCACAACAAATAATCGATTTCTATGCACACTCGTATTTGCAACAATCATCTGCTAGGACAAAAATTCGACTTATAGAAATCTAAAGAACACTCTGAAAGTGTTTTCGATATTATTTGGCTTAAGAATCTCGCTAATCAGCTGTTCACAGCTGCTCCAAGCAGCATGGGAATCGAGTCGAAGAATGGTAGCAGCCTCCACTGTTCATCCTAGCCGAGACCCAAAACAGTGTCCGTATCGTTGTACGGATATTTTTAGTGCGGACTGTAAGTATGTAGTAGCGTCTGTGCCTTGAATGTGTCTGCATTTCGCCAGTGTCTGTGGGCCATAAACTCCTCTGGCTAATTATGGCCACTAATGAGCTTGAAATGGCACTTGCCAGAAACAACAGCAGCAGAAGCAACGACAAAATACACATGTACTGAGTGTACTCCTATACATATGTGTGTACGTGTGCGTATTTAGATATTTGAATTCCCCCTCTCAAAATAAAAACAAACAATCATTGAATAAACAGTCGGCACTCTGCTCTGCTCCTCTCCACGCAGGGCAGACGTTATGCGACTTTCATTATTTATGAGCGGCGGCAAGTGCGAAAATTTAAACACTAATTCAAATTAAAGTGGCCAAAGCCAAATGGAGATGGAAATGTAACAAATGCAACAATTGCAGTTCTGCTAAATTAGCGACATGTTTATGAAAATGGCTTTACCGTGAAGAAGGGGGAATATAAGTCGGGTATGAATGCCCTCATGAATGGTGTGACAGAGAGAGGTGATGCTTCTGCACTGCACAACTTGATTAGAACTCAGTGGTGGATTTGCCTTGATAGTGCTGATATTGGCAGAAATGGCTGTTTAGCCTGTTTTTTGGTCACTGAGTTTAAAAAAGTGCCAAAATGTAAATAGTTTGCAAAAAAATGTTTTTATGCGATATTTTTGCGCTTTTTTGCACATTTTTACAACATTTTTCTGGCTATCGGCGAAACTATCACCACTAATACAAAACAAAAACTAATAAATCAAAAATCGATAAGGCATGAAGTTCTCCCATGCTAATTGAGGATCGATAGGAAACACGCTCAGTCTCTATAGAAATAGTTTAATCCATTTGATTCATTCATGACATCTGTTGCGCCTCATCGATAGCCGAAACATCGACAGGAGAGATAATTAGATGCTATCGATAGCTGAGTCATACAACTACAGTGTCATCTCCATCGATAATCGTTAGAGCAAAGAGCATTGCGCCCATCCCTATATAACCGAGCACGCTGGAAAAGTTTACAGTTAGAGGGAGTGAAAATGAATCAGATCTTGTTGTTTGAACAGCAGGCGGAAGAGAAGAGACGTTTGATGGACATGTACAATTTCGAGAGGCCGGGAGAGAACAAACCCGTTTTGAAGAACCCCTGGAAGAAGCCTTACGCACTGCTGGTGGCGATAAGCGCTCGCCAAGTCGGCACTTTTGCCGAACACTTCCCCAATCGAAGGTTATGGCGGAAAGAGAAACATTCGGGAACCGTGCCAGAGGTACATAAGCAAGAACATTTCTCTCCTATTACAAAGATAATAATTCCATAGTAAAATGATCAACAGAGGAAAGCTGCGACACCTGATCCAGAGCCACAGTTTTCCGAGAAGGAAAACGAAACCGTCTGGAATGTTCGTGAGAGTTTGGATGGTGGCGACATGCCGCCCCGCCTCACAGATCGAATGTACTTTGTTCTTGACGTGGAGATGGTACTCAACTTCGAGGAGCCAATGGACACTCGCAAAAAGTATCTGGAGGAGCTCAGCAAATTGGTTCTGCCCGGCACAGCTGGGAGCATGCTTTACATTCCGCATATAGTGATAGAAGAGATCGATTGGCTTAACATGGAACAAATGTTGTACGCAACCAAGGTGCTCACAGCCGAGCGTGCAATTCAATATTTGAACAAAAAGTTTGATAGCAGCTTCGAGATCCAGGCCCAATCGCCGAAGGAGGAGCAGGATCATCTCTTCCAAGTGTGCACCACTGAGGACAGCATCGTCAATAGCTGCCTGCAGCTCCAAGAGGAAGTGCCCAATTTGATGCTGATCACCTATAGTGGCAGTCTCCGCCGCACGGCCAAGTCGATGGGCATTCACGTCTCAAGCTACCCAGCCCTGAGGGAACAATATCCTGCAGCGTTTGCCGCACTGGAAGAAAAACTCGAGCCCTTGCAGGAGGTGCTGGCGGTTGAGGAAAGATCCTTATACTAATATTAATGTGTTATTTATTTTAAGACAAGACATAAAATGCCATTCCATTATTTCATAACTCTTAAATCT